GGAAATTAGGGTACAGGACACTGGAGGTCTCTATAGGAAAGCCATGGTCTGTTTGTGATTGATTTTATTTTGTTGTTGTTGCTGATGGTTTTTATGTTGTGATCTTATTTTAGTCCCTGCTGTATATGACTTCGAAGTTGCTTTTCTCAAAGGAAAAGAACCAAACTTGATTAGTATGGTAAAGGGAGAAGCTGACGAGGTGCACCTGTGGGCCAGGTAATGTTAACGTAAAATTTGATAAAAATGGAGAAAGATGGGTGACCTACCATGGACGGTGAAAGAGGCACTGGCCCAACGGTTAGCGCTTGTGACTTGGATGGGAGGTAGTGTCTTGTTCTAGGGAAAGACACTGTACTCTCACTCTGCCTCTTAGGAGGACGAACAGGCTTGTCACCAGTAACCTAATGCCGGTCTGTACTCTCTGCTTTTGTTTAATCCAGGAGAACTCCTATTCAAGACATTCCGTGTGACGATATTGAGGAAACTTCCAAGTGGTGCAGGAAGGTCTTCCAAAAAAAGGTATTAAAATTCACACTTACATCATTTCCGCACTTCGTTTTTTTCAGTTTTACTGTTCACCGTTTGTTTCTGAGTGACCTGTTTTCCCACTTTTTCTCTGATTACCTATTGCCAACACAGCAGTTAAACGTTGGGCATGCGCGAGGAAATCAATCCTGGAAGGCCGTGCGCCAATTTCCCGCGCAAAATTTCAAAGGAAGACATTACAAGCAACCGCTGTCTCACAAAATGTACGAAAGAAATTAAAACGTTCGTAGGAATTTGTTTTGAGCGTTGTCAAAAACGTCATACGCTTCTAAAACACTGCTTTCTTGCATGTGTGGTTGTTTGTTACTTCTGTCAGATAACTTGGCACTGACAGCCTGAAAGCACGCCACCTATTCATTACACCGTTAGCACATGCGCAGACGTTTGACCGTTGTGTTCTTGCTACCTGGTTGCCTCCTGGTAGGTCATTTTTCCCGCCATAGTGTTATTCTGACATTTTCCCGCGCTTTTCTTGCGGTTGTCACCGACTGGTATAGTTTATCCTCGCAGTCACCGGAAAATTGGTCTCTACTCTTTACGATTTACGTTTCCCTTCCCGATTTCTTATAGGACGAAGGAATGGCTTACTTCTTTGAACATGGTAAATTTCCAGCAGAAGAAATTGAATATGCTAAGAAAAACAGAAGTCTCGTCGTAACGATATTGTGGAACATACTTTTGGGTGTACCTCTTCTTTGGTATATCTTGTCTGTATTACTGTCTGGCTCCATTACCTCACTCTTAATTGCTGCCACAATTGCTCTAGTTGGTAAGTAAAAGTTTCGCCGAGATTGATGTGAAATTCGTGACTAGTGAGTGTATATCGATTAACAGAATTTTTTCTGATGACGTGCTCGTACTCAAACGAAGGGAAAAAAACAACTTGAGGCGATGAAACCACGTAGTCATACACTGAAGTTACCAACTCATGCAGCCCACACCAAACAAAGAAAGCGAGGAACACTTGCGTAACAATGTAACAAAGAACGCTTAACCTTAGTTTAACAGAAAGCAAAAGAAAACATAACGCGGCTTTGGTGTAACAATGGAGCAAAATCCAAAGCGCGCGCAGCTTTGGTATTTCATTGAACCAATAAAAGAAAGTGCGCAAGCGGCTATGGCGTAACGATGGAACAAAATCCAAAGCGCGCGCTGGCGGCTTTGTTGCAACAGTGAAACAAAATCAAAAGCGCACCCAGCTTTGGCAGAACAATGAAGCAATCAAGGAACGCGCGGTTGGCTTTTTGCAACAATGAACAAAATCAGATGTGCATGAAGCTTTGGCATAACACTGAGGTGATGAAACAGAGCACGCGCACGCGGATTTTTGCAACAATGGAACAAAATGAAAAGCTCAAGCAGCTTTGACGTCACACTAGAGCAAGAAAACAGGGCACGCGCGGGCGGCTTTTTGCGTCAATGAAACAAGAAATAAAAAATGTACAAAACTATGGTGCAACAATTAAACTAAATCCAAAGTGTGCGCGCAGCATGAGCGCATCAATCAAACAAAATAAAGTGCGCCATTTTATGTAATAAAGGAGCAAATTGCAAAGCACGTGCGACTTTGTTGCAACAAAGAAACAACGTGCAAACCGCGCGCAACTTTGATGCAACAATGAGACAAAGTAAACAGCACGCGCAACTCGATTTAAATTTAGCATATTGAGGTACAAGTTGTGCCCTAGTGTCTTTTCATTTCATCAAATGGCGTTTGCCATCGTGGGAAAATAATCCCCCAAAATATAGGTGTAAAGCTATCTAAGTAACAGTTGTAATTGTTTGTAATTTGTCTATAACACGTTTTTCAGGTTTTATCATGATCAAAGTACTGCTGCACTTTAGTGACTCCAAGAAAGGTAGCAGTTTTGGATTGAAGCCTTCTAATGGTACAAGAAACACTACCCCACCAAATGGTGACACGGCCAAGAAGTTAACTTAGATTATAATGTTCAGATTGATTTACGGAGTTGAACAGCGAGATCTTTTCAAGAGAATTATCGAGAATCAGTTGTAACAATAGGTTCCTTTTACACATTTTTGATACTTAAGAGGGAAACGCATTTGATATTATTATGCATTTTGGTCTTTCCAAAAAAACAAACAAACAAACAAACAAAAATAAAACAAAATAAGATGTTACAAAAAGCAATAAAAATGTTTGGTGTTTTCAAACTTGTTAATTTCCATGCCTGTTGAGGACCTTTCCAAGATTTTTTCTGAGGGATATTTTCCTCGATCTGGGATGAAGGAGGAATGCAGACTCAAAATAAAGTGAAACAATTATTTAGTGACGGTATTTCTTGCTTTATCATCCCCATAAAAAATCTTAATAAGTTCTTTCCCGAAAGTAGTGTCGGTAGTTAGGGGAGGTTTGACTGCAATCGATTTCAATAAATACCAGCTTGTTGCCTGTTGTTTCATTAATTCATTTATTTATTTCCGTATCTTAATATGTACGTTATCAGTCAACACAGTTCTCTTTGTCAGCTGTGCATTGCAATTCCTGAGGTTCCTTTCAACTTCTTGTTTTTCCTGTCTTCCGGATGGCTCCGCTTGATTTCTTTAGTCGCTCTCATGGGCTCTATAATCGTGCCAATGAGAGTCGACACACGTGGTTTTGTCAGTTGATTGAAAGTTGTGCTTGTGTTCCAGTGCTTACCCACAGGATTCCGCACGCTCCTTTCAAACTGTACATGGTTTCCGTAAGGATGGGGAACCGAGGAAACCTGAAAGAGAGTAAAAGGGATTTGAGAAGTCACTTCCTAACTGCCTATAAGAAATTCTGGAAGAAAGAAGGAGGAGGGCCCAAGACTTGCGATCCGACTAGCAGTTAACATCTCATCGAGGAGCCAAAGGGATATCAAAGTAAAGTGAAACTGCCTGAGACGCGGGAAAACGCGAGTGACCAAGTTAGTTGAGAAGATGGCGGGAGTTTTTTTGAACCAATCAATGGGTGAACAAAGTCATGACGACGACGAATCAGAAGAAAGGAATACTCTGAAAAACTAATAAGAACTTTCGTTAAAGACAACCAAACTGCCTAAAGCGCAGGCGACAAAGTCGTGATTGGTTTTAGTCATACATCTGACCAACCTCCGATTACTTTCGACACTCCAATGAAAATCGCTCTAGGGACCAACTTAATCGCTAATTACTTCGACCCCCCCCTTCCAAATTGAAAACTTCGCTAAAATCGAGCCTTACCTGATTCCTACTGAACAACTGGCTCTTCTCTTCATTAATAATCACGTGCGCCAAATTCTTGTCCTTCCGGGGAGGGGCTGGGTCGGCTTTCTTGATAAACTTCTCCTTTTTTTTCACAGATGGTTTTATACCTGCCCCAGCCCAGCTTCCCCAACCAGGCAGACTCAGGTCTACATCTTTTGGTGTGGAAGCCTCCTCTATCTCCTTCTTTTCCTGAATAAACTCTTCTACAACATCATCATTGGCGAACGCTTGCTGAATATCGATTCGCTTCTGTTGAAGGGAATCACTCCCAACATTTCCTTGATCCTCGATTCTAAAAATTTTTGTCGGGTCCACACGAATTTCTTTTGATTTTGAGTTCACTGTTTCAGCACTAGCGTCGTTTCCAGCACGTTTTCCATTCGTAAAGGAATTTCTCTGACCAGTGCTGCCTGTTCCATCATCTTTCGTATCCTCAGAGATATTAACCATCTTTATCTCGTGTTGAGTTTTAGAACGACTCTTTTTCGCTTCATTAAGAATATGTTTAGAGTTTCTTTTCGACTTATCAGATTGTTTTTTCTTTTTTACGGTCACTTCGTCCCCAGTGTCTTTGGGTTTCCGTTTTTTTCTGATTTTCGCCTCTTCAAAGTGTTGTTTCTTTGTTTTCTTTGTGGATCTCTGAGTGACACTGACCGGTTGTAATTCAAACTCTTCCTCAGTCTCCCTCTCATGAACATCAAGTTGCTCTGAATCTTCCTCATCCTCATTATCTGCCTCCTGTGTTCTGATTGGCTGAAGCCGGTGGAGCTTGATAGAAGAATCTAAAAAAGGTAATTTAACATTCTTCTTAACGTATCGAGTAAACTCATCGGGCAAAAGTAATGTGCTTATACAAAATTCCCATTTTCTGAGCTATGTTAAAAGCAAAAGTTTGGACTAATTCTTCTTGATGAGTTAGCTTAAAATTTTATGTACTGTTCTTCTTCCGCTGTAATCAAACAGAACACATTCAAAATTTTCTATGCTAAACACAGTAACATATGAATAGAGTACTTCAAAGGCTGGCCATATATTTTTCTCGCCTATAATGACACACTTCTTTGTTGCCCAATCTTGAGAATTCGTGTTATATCAGGGTAGGATGAAAGGACTATTAAATGTGTTATTCTTTGTTTGCTTGACAGCGCAAGAGAGCTTTAATAAGAACTACGTCAGAGGAGTCAAAGGTTTAAAACTATTAGGGATACTCTTACTATCGCCTCATATACAACCAGTGTTCCTCAACCCTTAACACATTAGTATGCTATTCTCCATACTACTTCCTACACATTTTCTGTAGTGCTGACAGGGAGAATTTGTTTAACAATCAGGCTATCTCTAGCTGGTGATCATTTCCTTTATTCTCAAGACCTTAAAGTGTAATTCGGGGGTGATACTGTACAGAGAAATTAGATGCTTATCACTCTTAGGGGTTGAAGAGTCGAGGAGGAGCATTATTAACATTCTGAAGAATTGCTGCAAACTGGCACACAAACTACTACATCAATTAGAGGTTATCTCTTTTTTTGTTTGTTTGTTTGTTTTTTTTAAATAAAAATTACCATTGTCGACGTTGTTTGAAGTTTCTAATGAATGAAATCCTGCCCCACTTGTGTCAAGCTTCCATGGATTGTCCTCAGAAGTAACAAGATTTCCATAACTGTCTGATTCCTCTTCATTATCTTCCAAACCTGGCTCTTGCATTGGTGCCTCCATTTCTTCATCACTTTCTAACTCTGCAGCTTTCTGTGTCAAGTTTCGGCTGATACGTAGTTGTTCTTGCAGTAATTTCTTAGCCTGATAACCAAAATAATTGAGAAAAAAACAGTTAAGAGAGGTTCACAAAGTTTGCTTGAAAATGAAGAACTGGAAAGTATGAAGATTAACGATGGAAACATTAATAAACCTGGACAAAAAAACTTACATCTGCATTCTTTCCTGCTTTAGTTATGAGGTGCTTGGCCCACTTTGAAGTATTCCGATGTTTGAGTGACATACGTTCCTAAGAACACAAGAATTTATTAGTTTTTCTTCCTTCCAGTTGCTAAACATTTGCTTGTAAAAAACTTCAGAAAATTTGGTATCAGATCAGCTACCCCTGACTAATAAGTATAGCCAATCTAATTCGTAATAATTTATCAAAATTGTGCGTACACATTGCATGTCAGTAAGTCACAGTGTAGGGAACTTAACAAACACTGGAACAGAAGGAAAATGATCACCTCAGCTCTTAGTTTTTCAACTTTTTCCAAAGCATCTTTATCATCTTCTGCCTGAGGATCTTCTTCAGCTCTTTTTTCAGCTGCACGTTTCTCAGCTTTCCGCTTTACCCGATGATATCTACCATTAACACAAAATATAACATTCAATTCACAAAACTGCTAACCAATGAACAATTATGGTATCCTATGCAGAGTTAGTAATACTCCTAATTGCTTCATGCTGTGGAAACCAAGATAAACTCTGCCTTCTACGTCATTGCTGAGTTATCTTTGCTGGATGCTATAAGCATTGATTCTTATCGAAATAGGAACTCAGCATCACATGTTACACTGTTGTCATGTAAACTGTCAGCTCTGCTGATAGGGAAGTAGATAGCTCTTTGAGCAAGTAAGAGTTATAATAAATATCTCAATAAGAAACCTACTTTTTGCTTATATACAACCAGTGTTCCTCAACCCTTAACACATTGGTATGCATATTCTCCATACTACTCCCTAAACATTTTCTGTAGTGCTGACAAGGAGAATTTGTTTAACAATCAGGCTATCTCTAGCTGGTGATCATTTCCTTTATTCTCAAGACTTTAAAGTATAATTCAGTGGTGGTATTGTACAGAGAAATTAGATGCTCATCACTCTTAGGGGTTGAAGGTTGAGGAGGACCATTATTGACATTCTGAAGAATTGCTGCAAACCGGCACACAAACTACTACACCACTTAAAGGTTCTCTCTTTTTTTTTTGGTTGTTTGTTGGGTTTTGTTTTTTTTTTTAAATAAAAATTACTTTTTTCCTTGTTGTTTTACCCAATGATATCTACCATTAACATGAAATATAATATTCAATTCACAAAATTGAGAAGGAAGTAGATAGCTCTTTAAGCAAATAAGAGTTATAATAAATCTCAAAAAAAGGAAACCTACTTTTTGCTTTTGATTTTCTTCATCCTACGACATTTTGCTTCATAATAAGACTGCAGTGCTCGTAGCTTCTGTAATTCATGTCTTCTCTCCTTTGCCTGAAAAAGATATAATTTGGCAGCATGTCAAGTATCACTCCAAACTACCCAAATTTGAGATGTCAGATGTTTTGCCTTAAACAGTAAGTAAAGCCTCTTTGCAACTAGGCAGTAACTGTCTTGATTGTGTCATATCTAGTTTTTCTCTGGGAAAAAATTATCTCAAGGAGAAATTCTATCTTGGTCCCTCATGAGAGTTAAAGTGGTAAGACACCATGTTCTAGTAATTGTATCATTCTGCCTTACCTCCTCTAAATCCATGCCAAGTAATGCTTTCTCTTCTTCTTCTGTCAGCTCCTTGTTCCTCCGCTCAAGAACATGACTGCTCCCCCTCAGAACTGCAGCAACTTCTTCCTCCAGGGGAGTGCGAGGCTGAATAATAATTTAGAACAAAGAACCCATGGAAAAATCAGTATTTATTACCTTGCTTAAAGGCCCATTCAAAACGGCATTCTTCAAATTAAATTTTCTTTATAATGAATTGGATAAAGACGCAAAAATCTCATTGATTACTGTAATGCTATGACATAGCACCCTCCTTCCGATAAACATTCCCTCTCTAATAAGCACCCCCTCAAATTTTTTTATAAATAAGCATTCCTATTAAGCAAGCACTCTCATTCCAGTAAGCACACCGACTCCAATAAATGCATAAAAATGAATGTAGTTATGGCAAAAATTAAATGCACTTTTTGTGTTTAGTAATACAGATTTTCCCTGACACATGGGAAGTGCTGTGACATAATGGTTAGCCACATAAACTCTGGGTTAAGATGTCCAGCCAAGACTACATTGACATTTTGTGTTCTCAGGAATGAAATTTGACTCTAAAAATGCCCCTTTCCATCCAGTAGTATCAGTATGTACTGGTAATCTGAACAGAAACTAGACACAATGCTGAGAAGGAACTTGCTATAGACTAGCATGGGGGAAGGAGCAATTACTGAGCACATGATGCCTTTGGATCTACATTACCTTATTGGCCCTAGTGAACCTTTTTTACAATTTGACTGTCTTGACTACATCAGGGGTGAAACAGATGGCTACCAAAACTTTTGATGATAACTAGAATCTTTGTTACTTAATTTGTCAAAAAATCTCAGTCATGGTCTTTTCTGCCACAATAACCAGATATCCAATCAAGCAATACTCTATTCTAATCTAATCTTGACTATCCTTTTCTACTCTCCTTGTGGGTCAGAAATTAGGATCATCTTTGACATTGAGCCAACATGCTATATCAGAAGTTACTTGTACCCTTCTGTAAAAGGGTAGGGCCAAAAAGATAAAAAAAAATTATTTCCAGCCCCCCACTCAAAGAATGCCTTTCTAGCTCTAATTAGCAAATAAGAAAAAAAATAAAGCTTGCAGTTTACTTGCATACAGCAGTGTCCTGTTTAAAAGGCTCCTTGGAGCTACCTCATATTATGTCTTAATTATGCAATTAAATTGAGACAACTTTTACCCTTTGCCATCTCCTTCCAAAATGACATCACTGTTGCCGCATGAGGCACAAGGGGAGCTACCCTTTGTAAAAAGGGGTGGCTGCCCTTATGCCACACCCGACAACAAAAGTGCAACAAGTAGTAATTACTGCATGGGCCCATCTTTGCCAAAGATAGTGTTGTAATTTGATAATAAAACAGGAAGATATGAAATACAATACCTAACTGTGACAAACTACACTTTAATACACATAATTGCTTAAAAGCAATCTTGGTAAATCTACTCAACTCAAAGCCCTTATGATAATGATCTATGGTTTCAGAATAAGAATGAAAACCCCTACAGCTGAACAGAACATAAAAATGTGACACCGCATATCACAATTACCTTGAACTTCACTGCCAATCCGCTCAGTGACAGTACAGGTGGTGTGTATGGTTTCAGTGGAAATGATAAATGTTCAGCCTAATGACAAGATTCAAATAACCCTTCATTAGATTATGATTGTAGAAATTCTATGAATGAATGAAATTATGACTCAAACTTAAGTTATGTACCTCTCTATTCTTTTTCACAGTGGGCGCCCATTTTTCAATATCTTTTTTGGTTTCTCCATACGCAATTGTGCGCTGAATCTAAAAAAAAAAGAAAAGAAAATTACTGTTTAATTGTCACCTTAATTTATACATCAAAGACACACTCTGCTCTGACTGTCTGATTAGTGTGAACATAATATGTTCACACTAATCAGACAGTCAGAGAATTATGTCTTTTTGTTCTATTTGAAAACTGATTTCCAGATTAAGACAAACTTTTAGCTTCCACCTGATGAGAAGATTTAACATTTTACTTACTTTCTGTACTTCTGGTTTTGGCAGAGGAACATCAAGGGTATTTGAATTCCTCTGCATACTGTCCTAAAGTAAAGGAGAAACAAGTGATGCATCAAACCACTGCACTAACATCCAACCACAGGAGCTGTGGGAATTCTAAAAAAATTTGAACAATTTTCTCACCAACTTTTTCTTGAGACTGCCATATTCATTTGTGTTGTTCAAGGACCCAATAAGATCATTCAGATCAACTTGTTGTGTGCCATCTTAGAAGAAAAAAAACAAGTTGCACTGTATCTGTCAATGATACTCAAACAACAACACAAACAATCACAATTAACTCTGAGTTTATGAGCACTTGTCGCCTTCTTAAAGAAAAGGAAATCACTATTTTCTTAAAACTAGTGAAAACTCTTGGTGATCAGGAAAGAGAGCACTGGAAAAATTCTTTGTAATGGTCAATATTCATAATTACCTTGAACAGAACTGAGATGAAACTCTGACACCTGTTTATGTGGCTCTGATCGTTGTGATGCAACCCTAAGTCAGTCAAGACATATAATCACGTATATATTAGAGTGAAAGATTAGATATTTGAGGTACCTGGAGCATGCAACAAAACTGTATGATGAAATGAAACAAATTTATGGTTTAAGCACTCTGTCTGGTCAATCCCTTTAGTGTACTTCTCTACCAGAACCAGCTACCAAATCTAGAAGGCTCATTTATCAGTAAGTGAAATATCTATAAATGTACAAAATCTGATTATAGGATGACTTCATTTTCAGGCCCTCTCATTCCCCTCTCTTCCCAAGGTTCTATATTTACAGTAGTTTCAGATTTATGTCAGTCACAGTGACCCTTTGTTTCTTGCATCACCAAAAGGTTTATGGTATAAGTTCAGTGCAAACTGAGAGGGTTTCTTTCCTTACTTTTATATGGGCAATGAGTAGGACAAGGAGCAACGACCCATTTTGCCAGAGGAGAACCTAAAATAGTTTACTTTTTGAAACAATCAACCCTTTGAGATCTGATTGTTAATTCTCCCCTCTAGTTGCTATGCATTTCCTAGTAAATAGGTTGTGAGAATTTGGTGTTAGATCAAGATACAAACTTCTTCTTGATAAGTTTGAGTATTCTCATTACCCGTTTGCCAGACGACGAATTAATATTATAGGGGGAGAAGTTACATGATAATCACTTCTGAGTGTTGGAGGGTTACCCTTTATATACCTCTTTTTCCCATTGGAAGATAAGGATCTGATCTCCTTGAGGAGCTTTTCATGTTTCTTTTCATCTTCACTATCCTTCTGAGAGATGTGAAAAACAAGGTTAGGTTCCATCAGGTGTGAGTCAAAACACAGACTTAAATGTCACCTCCATGACAAACAGTGATTCACAACAATTAAATTACAACTTTCTGTAGAAAAACATTAACAATTGCTGCTACAGAAACTTTCACTGGTTGTCTAGTTAACAAATAGATTCCAAGTTGCCGTGTGTCTGTTCAGTAATAGATTACAGATGACGTCAAAATGTGGTAAGAACAAAAAAGTGGCACATGAGGCGCAGCCGAGTGTGTCACTGATGTTCTTACCACATTTTGATGTCCTCTGTGATCTATTACAGAACAGACACACGGCAACTTGGAATCTATTTGTTTTATATAAGAATTAAAATATACGGAAAAAAGTTTTCATGATGACGTCATCTATACGTCTGTCCTCCAATAGATCATAAGTGAGAACCAATCAGAATGTGTGCATAACTGAGCTTATTATATAAAATTACAGTTCGATCACACTATAATTAGATTGCTCCAACCAAAAGGTAGATCACTCCACTCAAAAGTTAGATCACTCCATCAAATAAGTGACTTTGCTCCCAACATAAGCTGCTTCACTCCACGTAGAAAACTAAGGTAAAGGTAGTAAAGGTAGTAAAACTAAAACTGTAAAGGACTCACAAAGAGTACTCTACTTTATTAATTGAAGATGGTGGATATCAGTTTCCTTACATCAAACAGTAAAAAAAGGCCACAATGGACAATATTGGTATTTGAATGATCTTTTTCAATACAATTCAGACAATAATGTCATAATTTATTCCACAATCATTTATTTCATCACGGCTATACATCATACATCAGCAGCTCAGTGCCTAATCAGAAGGACAGAGTGAATGACAAGTACAATGTACCTGAATTGTCGCAAGACACATTATCACCTAATTAACCTTCCAGATCATTGGTAAGTAATACTTCACACTACAACATGGAGTGAAGTAACTTAGGTTGGTAGTGAAGTAACTTATTTGATGGAGTAATCCACTTTCATGTGGAACAATCTAACTTTTCAGTGGAGTGACCAAACTTTTGGTTGGAGCAATCTAACTGGGAGCAATCTAACTGGGAGCAATCTAACTGGATACCATGGTCTTTCACTAACATGATCTCATTTAATGTAGCAATTCTTCTTACTGACTACCAAACAACTCTTTTGCTGTTGGTTTGGAGAATTTGGTATTGGATCAACTAGTAATCCTCCAATGGATATTTTCCCCATTACTTATCTAATTGATATTATAAGAGAAATTATTTCTTGGTCACTCACGGGAATTTAACGGTTTTGGTAGGTAAGATTGACATGGGCAGCAGTTCCACGGAAATCCGAAGGATCTCAAATTTCATATCCCATCTCGATTTCATACAAAACGTTTCGTTGGCCAGATGCCGTACTCTGGATCTCTGGATATTTCCATATTAATTTTATTAAATATTTAGATATCTACGTTCTATCGCCAATACTATTAAGCAATCTTTTTCTCTTTGACCATTCCTTGCTCTTACGCACGTGGCTGAATTCAACAACATCAGCTTGCAAGCTTACCTTTAGTCGCGCGTTCAGGCTTGACGGAATTTATACATTGGTGGGTAAAATCACTTACAAAATCTAGTTACTCGACCGTTGGAAATCGTCAAAGGGCTAAAATCTGTAGAAAATCAGTCTCATTGGTGTTTTACAGCTACCTTTGAGCAAGAATTCGAATTCACGTGCACGCAAATCCTACCTCGTCGTCGTCGCTAGCACACAGCTCGTCCGCCCCATGAATAGGTTCGTTGTTGCGTAATCGAGCTTCTAACACAGGTGCGATTCTGTTCAAAATAACGTTATATCAAGAAAAATACATTAATTTCATAACTATACCAGCAAATTGCATGACACAAGCTCGTTGGTAATTTACGTTTCCACCGTATACGTACTTCAGAGCTATTTCCGCAGCCATTATGGTGGAACCCTTCCCTCGTGACTATTACAAAGGGATTGTGGGATATATCGACCACGTGGTATTGGCTTCAATCGACGCCATCTTGGTTACAGCCAGCTGTTTGTTCATACCTTCCCTACTCTTCTTAAGCAGAGATACGCGACATGCCGGCGTCTCGCTCTCGATCGAGATCGCCGAGGAGGATTTCGACTTCATCAAAACCGAATTCTCGTGAGCTTATCACGATTAAAACCGAAAAAGACTCCGAAAATAGCACAAATAAGAACACTGACTCTTCAGCTTCCCAGAGCACCAAACCAAGTGAGAAGCCTTTCCGAAAGCCATTAGAATCGTCAGCCTCCAAAAGTAGCGGCGCGAGCAATTGGAGTTCATCACACAAAACTAAGGAGAGAAAGTTTTCCGGACGATGTAGGCTTTTCGTGGGGAACCTGACCAACTGCGATGAGAAGGAGCTTAGGGATATGTTTGAAAAGTATGGAGAGGTGGCAGAGGTTTTTGTAAACAAGGATAAAGGATTTGGTTTCGTGAGACTGGTTAGTATCAATAGAAACGAATTTATGAAATATTTACATGTGAATATAAACTCAGGGCCACAGTATTTCAGCATTTTTTTGGGATTGTACAATGCACGAGGAAGTTTTCCAAAACGTCAGATAGCGGAGAGCTTCCACGATATGAGGACAAAGACCAAATTAACCTTTAATTTTGTTTTATTCGTGAATGGAATTTTTTCCTTAAATTTGAGGCAGACCAATTAACATGTACTCAAAAAGGCATTAACTCAAGTGGTTTTCTTAGCAATATGCCCATGGTCATATTATTATAGTCATAAAATCTTTAAATTGTGAAAGACTAAGGTAAAACTCAAACCTCCACCCATATACTGGTTTGGTGCAACTACAGACTGCACTGTGAACCCACATGTTGGCAAGGAAGAAAATTGAGATGGATTCTTGCTGCAAAAGGAATCGACTTTGCTCAGTTTAAGTCTAATTTCAACATCTGTTCATGAACATGAAATTGAGGAAAAATACTGGAAGACAAGGAGCATGGATTGCACAGGAACATGCTTCAGAAACATAATCATAGTCCAAAAATTATCAAAGATGCTATGATTTTTTAAAAACAAGGTAAGATCTTTGTCTGTCCATAGGATACACGTCTGAATGCAGAAGCTGCTAAACAAGCTGTTGATAACCAGTATAGAAATGGAAGAACTTTGCGTGTGCGATTTGCCCAACATGCAGCTGCTCTGAAAGTACTAAATCTTGGTCCAACAGTCACAAATGAGCTGTTACATCAGGCTTTTTCACAGTTTGGTGATGTGGAGCGAGCCATTGTTGTCTGTGATGACAGAGGAAAATCCAAAGGACATGGTATTATTGAGTTTTCAAGAAAGAACTCTGCTCAAACTGCTTTGCAGCAAGTTAATGATGGCTTATTCCTCCTTGGAAGGTAATTCGAAAATTATGATGTTGTTTATTGCTCTTCAAGTTTTAGTGAAAGAGTTCCCTAGTATGAATCAATAGCTTTGGCCAGACTTTGATGAAATGTCATAACCAAGGTACAACTTTCCAAATGAGTGATAATGCTAGTTAAGTTTGAATTATTTTAATGCGATCTTGACTCAGTGATGAATTTTTTTTTTCTGGAATTACCGTATGAGGTTTTTTCAAACCCATGTTTAAATTTTGGTATCTGAGAGTCAAAGTCCTTACAAAGTTAATGTTTACCAAATAATGATTACTACTGATCTAAATCTTATTTTTTGGGTTGTTTTCAGAACCCCATGTCCTGTATCTGTCAAACAGTTAGAGCATATAGAAGATGAAGATGGTATTTTAGATGAACATATGAAGAGAAATCCTGCATTTCAAAAGTAAGAAATGGCATAAGTGTTTTGTGTAATCTTGTATCACTTTGACTAACCCACACCCTTTTTCTTGATGGTGGGTTGATATGCAAAGGACTTGAATACCAAATTTTATAAAGAAAATGTTATTTGATTCTCACCATTATCAAGAAGACCTGTTATCTGATGGGGAACATTTCCCTCATAGGAATTTTTTTTTACAGTTTACAAGGATTAAACAACTGGATTTGTAGGGAACTACTTAACCATGTAACTCCCTTGAGCAACCAAGACAGAATTTCTCTCCATAACAATTAAGGAATATCAAGCAGACAAATAATGAGAATGAATAAATATACATATCAGGGGATTATTAGGCAATCCAATACCAAATTATCCAAACTTGCATTATAAGAATTGTGTAACCAGACAGTAAGGATGAATACTAATGTGATCTTTGGAGTGAAATGGTTCATTAAAGATAATTGCTCATTTTTTGTTGTTGTTGTTGTTGTTTTAATTTATGAGTGCGTATGGTGTTTGTTTTTGTTTTTGTTTTTTTTGTACATTTTCATTGTTGTTCTGGGTTTTTAACATGTTTATTTTAGAGAGAGAGAAGCCCAACCACACTTTGTGTCACCCAATACATTTGAGTCAGAATGGGCCCAGAGATGGCGAGCATTGGAAGAAATGGAAGGATCCCAGAGAGAAGCTCTAGACAAACAGTTTAAAGAAGCTCGTGATAAATTGCAAGGGGAAATGGATCAGGCTATCCAAGAACATGAAGCTGTACTAATGAGACAAGGTATCAGCATAATGAACATAGCAAGACAAGAAGTTTTCTTGAGACAAAATTACAGTGTTTTCTTTGCATTATGATAACCAATCCATATTTATTTTGCTGTTTCTCCTTTTTCTCATAGGATGAATGATTAAAAAAATCTATTTCCCTACGAATATCTTTAAGTTTGGGCTTTGCTTGTGATCATGGTTGGTTTCTACTTTAGAAACAGTAAAGCTTAGAAACAACGCTTTCTATTTTAGAGCTCATTATAAGATTTGTTCTCTGCTTCTCTGTGATGAAACATCTTCTGGAATTACCGTATGAAGTTTCTGAAGAAACTAATGGATAGAATGTGGCTTCTGAGAGAGGTGCAGGCTCAACATACACTTACAAGAGTATTGCTTAGCAGGAAGGGTTGTGTTGAGTAACTAAGAAAATTGATTGTTTTAGAAATTCAACGTCGTCAAGATGAGCTTCGTCGATTTGAAGAGATGCGTCAGAAAGAAGAGATGATGAGGAAAGCAGAATTAAGGCAAGGAGAACATTGTTTTTGATTCAGCCCTAGAATTGTCCTTTTTGAATGACAAGAGTATGAAAGGTGTAATTTGGCCAGCTAGTCAGTTTGTATTGGGGGTAGAGTTGTTGAAAAACTGTGATAATCTGGGAACTAGTTTTCCAGACAGGTCTGGTAAGGGTATGGACAATTTTTTATCTCCTTAAAAATGAGAGGAAGTCATGGTTTACTTGGATGGTTCGCCTGGATTGTAGTGAATTAGGTGGATGTATTCCTTGATATATGATATGATATACTATTTGGACTACAACATGTAATGGCATCTAATTTCCAGGAGACAAGAAGAAATGCGTCTTCAGGAAGAATTGCAGCGGAGGGAAGAAGAGCTGCGACATAAGGAGGAGCTCTTCAGGCAGCAACAGCGAGAACTTCAGAGGCATCGACAAGAGGACATGTACCTACAGGTTAATAATCTTTTGAGGATAAAATAATGCTAGGTTTATTTACATGTGTATTGTGACTTAGACTTGCAAGGGATTTAGGTCTGGCAGAAGTTTATTCAAGGACCTGCACCTTGTTGTTATTTTACCATGGCCTATCTCCAATTTAAGCATCTCAGTTTCATCCATGCCCTCCTCCCTCCCTCCCCCCCCTTTCCACCTGGTTGTTACAGTTTTTCTCTCATCCATGTACATCGTTGCCTTTTCGCCTCAGGATTCTATGCGGCATATGGATACTAACATCCCACCAGGAATGCCTCCCATGGTATGCTTTCCACATCCATTGTGCTTTCTGTTTGTACGTCAGTGGTAGTCCTTGGTTCAGTAAATTACCACTGCTTTAAAAAGCATCTAGTACATTGTGGATACAGTGTTGCATGGTCATCAAGGATTTCTAATACATGAGAATTACACTCCTTGTGTAGAATTTGAGTTTTGCAAGTTGTTCTTGCATATAAGTTGTCTGAAAAAGGATTCCAGTACTCATCCAATTTAGTTAACATGTTGATTTTCATGAGTTCTGTATTTGGCCTCAGTTTGTTTTTTATATTATTGGGTTAGTGTTATCAAAAGTGTGCATGTGATAATTTCAGGTGAATATACTCTCACATGCTTTTGAACTATTTCAATATGTTCTAAAAGCAACTAGATTAGATTCATATTAACCTTAAAATCGTTGTAGGGTTATTCTATCAATTATCACACATAAGTATTTTTTCCTGTCTGTAGGGACCTCCTGGTGGAGACTGGGGAAGAGGGCGTGGTGGACCACCCCCACGAGGACCACCAGGAAGAGGTGGACCACTAGGCCGTGGAGGGCCAGGCTTTGGTCCTCGTCCACCAGGTCCAGGGATGGGGAACCCTCCAAGGATGGGCCCAGGAATGATGCCACCTAGAGGACCACCTATGGGAGGTCCACCTCCAGGCCCTCGTGGACCCATGGGACCAGGGATGAGACCTAATGGGCCGGTAAGGTGTTAATATTTATCCTTTAGGAGGAATTTGTGTTAAATTGTGTGAAAAGCTCACTAGATTTAAACTGATCTCAAGGGTTGTCGCTAAGTGCTGACTGCCAGTGAAATTTGCAGGTGGAAAAGTACCATCTTTGTGCTGCCTCACTTGAAATTTCAGCCAGCAAACCAGCAACCTTGGATGTAATGTTCCATAGATAAATGCTGGAATGCAATTCTCCTAATGGAGGAGAAATTTTCTGTGAGCATGCTATGTGGGAATTTTCAATTGTGTGACTCAGAAGTAAACTTGGTTGCAAATTGAAGTAGTAATCATCTCTCAAGATAGTTAGTAGAACTAGTACTTTTTTTTCAAGAAATCATGGATAGGCCATATTTCAGGTAGTATTCTGAAGTGATACAAATGTGCTTGACAGAAACATGTAAGGAAGACATTAAATTTATCTGTATATCTTTGAGTGATAACTTGCAATCCGGCTGATGGATTCCTTAGAACTGTTGTGTCTATTGTTACATTGATGTGGAACACTAAAAATCTTTCCTAGAAGGCCTTCGTGGTGATGAGGTTGAACCACCTCTTCAGTATGTTTACTAACATGAACCAAATCTTGCCAAGATTTGAAAAGCAGTAGGCAACTTTGTTAATACTGGCGTAAATTAAGAGAAAGTCAATACAAAATAGTGACATTTTATGGCCTTATCAAGGTCATGAGTGCTTTGTGAAACTTGCTTTACATCCTGTGCATAGTTCTTTTTACTGTTATTTTATGGCTATGATAAAGAATAGAGACAAAAAACCTGTCAGAATGGACTGGCTCAACCAGCAGTTTTTCAGAATTTGCAATCCAGAATAATTGATCTGTGATGTTCAGAATCACAGTAAACATAGAGTATTGTAAAGCTTTTGCTGTGGAATGTTCTAATGATATGTTTGCTTTCTGTTTTTGCTGCCATCTCCACTGTGGATTTGTTTGCTTTTGGATTTTCTCTCATGCATTGGATTGTTGGATCATGAACTGTATATTCAAAATGAATTATCATTTTCGAACTTTATTAAATAATAATCCAGAGGCCAAGATTTGAAAATGAAAGGGAACGTGATCGTGAAATGGTCGATCGTGATCGGCTTGCTGCACGCTCACGAGAGCCACCTTCAAGAGACCGTGGAGATTTCAAGAGACCTCGTTACTAGGCAGGCACACACCATAATGACTCTGTCATATTGCTGTTCTATTCAATACATGAGTGAAAATAACTAAAATGGCTGTTTTGAAGTGTGCAAAGTGACTTCCTTAGATGACATCAAGAGAGAAGGAGATGTTTTGAACTAGTATTTGTATGTGCATCAAAGTTTTGTAGTGGAGTTTGGAACCATTTGAATTTAGTTTGCAGTAGATTTGGCTTCCCATAAGAATTTGTGGATAATTGTTGTGGCTGAGCAAATAATCTTGGGGGAATTAGTTCTCAAAACTTTTTTAGCTGTAAGGGTAACTTCAAGCGACATCTTAACAAAGGCAGAGGACAAGTCTAAAATTCTTTTTTTTTTTAATTCCATTTATTAGCTATGCCAGTTTTCACAAGGGAATTATTCTGTTCTTGTTTTTCATGTATTTAAAGTTGGAATCAATACCACTAAAATGTGGAAAGGCATTGAATGCTAGGTTTATTGTGTTTATATTCATATATATCAACTGCTAGATACCCATATATAATACATGTAGCATTTCTAGAGAGGTTTAAGTAGAAATTATAGTCATTTTTAAACTGCTGTTGTCAAGCTTTTATTTCTGTTTTGAATGATTCTGCGACTCTGTGTACCGATATTATCATGATCTTTTCTCTAGCTCGATTGGGACAACTGGCAGTTGTGGTTTTCAGCAAAAAGATGTCTTTTTCTCTACAAAATATATTTTCCCTATTATTTTTCGTTTTAAGTTCATCTACTTTAATCATGCAGAAAAAAGTGCTTGAACACTTGAGGCTACAAAGAAGTTAACATTTTTATGTCCTTATGGCATGCAAACACAGAAAGTTCAAATTTTTTTGCAGCTGATATTAGCAGATGAACAGCAATGTTTTGTACATTGAATCCTGGGTATCTGAGAGATATAAATTGAAGCTATCTGTAACCTTCAGTTGTGAACACATTCTTTAGTTCAGACTGTCATCTTCTATTACAAAAATGATCTCTTAACCATTTTTATGGTGGGATAACTGCAAGGAATACCCATTCCAATGCTGAGGCAATTACCTTGAATTAGTAATACTCATACTTGAACAATCATTTGATCATAATTGCGACTGATCTGATTGTACCATTATATAGAATTGGCAACTGGTTTCAAGTGATGGGTTCAATTTTTTCAAATGTATATTCAAATCACCTAAGGGTTGGGTAAATTTCCCCTTTTTTTTTAATTATGCAGCTAGCAGTTATGTTACTTCACACATAACATTGATTATTGTCCCCTCATTGAACTCCAAATTCCCTTCCAGAAGTGTTTGAAAAGATGTTTTCTTTAAAGATATTCTTTTCCCTGATTTGAAGACCAATTTCCTTTGTGTTCTCCTTGGCTTAGGGCTAGATTTGTCTGCAAACAGATACTTTCGTGCTGTAGTAACAGAGATTTAACAGATATTTCTCTTTTGAACATCGGCTATAAGGGTTACATTGTACTTACTTTTCAGATGTAATTTCCTGAAAGGTTTTTGCAAAAACTACACTCGTGGAACCAACTTGCCTTCTCTTTGGTTGTCAAACTTGCGTCATGTGAGTCTACTGAAGGCATTTTTTTGGTCTGTAGTGAAACAAAGAGTACAGAGTGTATGTATTCTTTACCTTTCAAACCCTTGTTTATTTGTCCAAACCAACTGCTTTACCTTGAATCATATGTTCTTGTAAAGTACTGAATATTTCATCTGAGAATTTTGATTGACTGGGAATCAGGGTTGGTGCAGGGCTGATGTTATCTGTTGGTTGTATCACTTGCTGATAATATTTGCTTCCTCATCAAAGGTCACAATTACTTGAGGCTTTAGTGACATATTCAATAAACTTTGTAACTTACATTGAAAAGTGTGACTTGGGTCGTAGCAAAAGGTTAAACTGGACTCAAGTTGGATCTGCAAAGGGATGTCTCATACAATCATATGGTTTGTTGCAATGTGTGAATTGCAACCATTTTGTGAAATGAGTTTCAAGGGTTTATTTATGCACCAGTATTGCCAACAAAGCTGTTAGTAGTCATAATAAATAAGCAACAAAGCAAGCTGATCTGCAATCAACAACTGTTTGAGAGGCACAAAGTAAAATATTTTCAGTTCTTAGGTTAGTAGTTGTTGTCAGATGCCTCTGCATTGTTCTTTGTTAAATTGCAGTGGAAGCAAACAAAAAAAAATTGCTCATGTTTTGAAGAAAATTATATGTACAATATGATATTTGGTAAAAAGATGCAGTTGTCAAAGAAAAAAATATATACCATATTTAAATTGTATTGACCCATTTAATTGTTAGAGACCAAGTTCCCAAAGCTGGCATCAGAGTTTATGACAGCATTAAGTGCATCGGTTGTTAGCATTCAGGGCCAGGTTGTTTGAAAAGTGGTTTGTGATAATCTGGGATTAAAGTTCAACTTGTCCTTGATTTCTCTTGTGATAGAGTGCATATTAGTACTTACATTTTGAGGAGTTTTACCCATGTGAGACAACACTGGAGGAAATTTATTAACAATTAAGACTGATTGCAAAGCTTCAAAACTAAATAAAAAATTGTTGGCTAACCTTTAGTTAGCTTAACAATGCAGCCCAGATTATTAAAACAGCTTAACAAGATAAGGACTTTCATTTTTAGACATCTTTCAAGATATACTTCAATCAAGGGGTTGTTCTGGTGATGAATGGATGGCATTTTGCTGTATTAAGCATTCAAAATCAAAGTTCATGCAAATTTATTGCAAACAACTTGGGCACATAAAAGCATGTCAATTTTTTTTGGACATCTAATTTTGATTTGGTGTGGGATCAGTCAAAAGATCAGTTTAAAAACAATTTGGGCAAGTTATATTGAAAATCCATTTCACTGAGTTTTAAATTTTGTTTGGTATTGGACTAGTAAAACGATCTTTTAACAACATTTCAAAATCTTTTAATTTCATGTGGAAGAGGAGTACAAAAAATTTAATTGAACAATTTAAACAGAGGCTTTCAGGCCTGTGCCTTATGTTTTAAAAAAATACATCCAAATTCTAATCCAACAAAGAAAGCAGCAGATTTCCTAGGTGTGTTTCACCAAAGTGAAACGGTGTACCATTGGATGTTACAGCCTGGAAAGAGCAAGGTATGTGAGTGACTTGAGTAAAGTACTGGTAAAGATCAGCAGTTTATAATTTTAAGACAGTATGTTATGAAAGCAAGTACAGCGTACACTTTAGAAGCAAAGTAAGCAGTGGTCAGCTTATTTGCTGATCCTTAAGCCATGGATACAGTTAGGTAAACTTAAATTTTTACATCTTTTAGTACTTCTTGAGATATTAATAAAAATTTATTAACAGAAGTACGCAAAAGCAGCTGCACCAAGTTGAATTAATCATTGTACTACCTAAGTGGCATTAGTTTGGGTAAGACATTTTCTGCTCACAGTGTTTTTGTTTTTACCAATTCCCTTATTTTCATGGATTCTAAAGATGCTGTAACCAGAAGTTAGAGAACACTTTTTTGATTTAACCTGAGGAAGAGTTGTTGGATGAATCTCTTGTTCCATGTAACTAAGTTTTTTTAGAATGTTTAGTGGGTATGCATCTCCTATATCACAACCAACCATAGTTGATGGCAATTGTTTCTGAGTTGTGTTTAAGTGTAAAATGAACTTGCTGAATTTGGTCACCTTTTATTTTATCGATTGAACATTTTCAATTGTTATTCTTATGTTTAGTTTTGGTAATTCCTGAAAACTTACTCGGCAAATCTTATGCTCTGTGTATGAAGTTCAAGCATTGTTGTTAGCTACCACTAGTAGTCATCGGCATTATCTTATATGCGGTAAGCAGCGTAATTCAATTATTGCCCCTCGCTGGGGAAAGAATTTGAAAAAAGTTGCAGATATTCAAGTGAACCTTCGTTGACTGGTGTTGAATGGCATATCTGCCGATGTGATGCACATAACAGCTGAAGGTAATGTACTATAAGTTCTTAACTCTCATTACTGAAACTTAGCTTGTTTCAAAAGATCTATTAATCCTGTGCTGAAGTCGAATCGTTGATTTATTGCAATACTTCATCTTGCTGCACTCCTGTACCAAACAATCATGATGGTGTAAGCTACATTGATCCAGAGTTATCAAAATCAGGGTCTAGAAGGTTTCCAAAATTGATTAAATTGTAGCTTTCCTTCCAAGCTTTCTGCAACATTGCATTATTTCAAGGAACAGAGAATGAATAAGCATTTAAGAATCTTAAACTTTTGGTAGGCTTACAATTTCTAGAAAGCTGCCAACCCCATTATAATGTTATGCATATCATGACCTCAGTTATTGGCAGTGAAGTTTTATAAACTTTTGTCTACTTTTTGAAGCATACTTTTTTACAATTTGCCAGCTAAGGCAAGGTGACCTTATTTGTTGCCTGTGCATTATTTGTAATTGAGTTTCTGTCACTACTTTGAAATATGTATCACGAAAATTTGAATTACAAAAGGTGAAACAAAAATACTTTTTAGCTTTCAATCAGTGAATCATCATCAGGGTATGCATTTTTGTAGTTGGAAATGATGATGATGATAATGAAATGATTGAAGACATTCATTGTTTTAGATCGCAGTTATAAAGTTTTTCTTGAGTTGGTTTATTGGTGAAAACAATTTGAAGAGAGCAGAAACTACTTTGTATTAGTACCGTATTATTTTTGAACTGTTAATGGGATTTAAGAGAAGGTTCTATAATCTGATTAGAAATTGTTTAAATGATGAATCATATGCTGTGTGACCTTACTGTGTGAAAAAAATGTTAGTAAATACTAAATTGTTACCGTTTGTTTCACAATGTGGTTATTTCAAACATGGATTACAATTGTTAGACTGAATTCTGTGCATTGTTTGTCCAGCATGCGAGCAGTGAATTGTAGTAATACACACTACATTGTGAGACAAACAATATCTTTTCATTATAACTCTGTTGTGTTATGATGAAAATCCACAAACATTTTTAAGACATTTAAAATTTTGTTCTCTATTTAAGTGATTCCTTGTTTGTCAGGTGTACTGTTACATGGAATATTATATCTCAAAATATAAGGAAAACTTCAATGGAATAAAATTTCAATTGTGAAGCTTTTCAAGCATCGTCAATGAGTTCTTTGATGCTAATATTACAGAGAAGGGAAAGTTTTTATTATTGTAAAGTGCTTTTGTGTCTGAAGTTGATTCCTTGTTCACGTTTGTTTTGCAGGAGTACTTAATTCTGTTAACTTTTCTTATTCTAAAGATTTGTTTTGCTGTTTTTGTTTCTTTGTGTTAAGCTTATTGGTGTCATTTGAAGAGTGCAGTAACTTCAAACAGAGGTAAAAGACAAATGATGTGTTATTTCTCTCAATGTGTTATTTCTCTCATTACCATGTGACTTGCAAACCAAGATCGCTTTTGATCACTTTTCAATGAGAGCAAAAAGTGGCACTTGTTGCCAAACATAAGGTAGTGGTAACACTTAGCAATCACTTATAGATTTGATTATCAGAGCCAACTTAATTTGCCTTGCAAAATTATTGTTAACAGCTTTATAAGTTTTTGTGGAAATGGTTATACTCAAGCAGTTATTTTTTTTAATTTACAGATTGAAATTGTAACTTACCCAGCTATGGGGGGATTTCCTGTCATTATTGTGTGTGGTTACAAAGTTGAAGGTAGGCTCAGTGGTCATTTGAAATGTTAACCTGTTTCAGCACTTAATACTTTTACCGTAAGTTTGTTTGTAGTGCTGGTGCAATGATGAAATGTGTTTTTATGATAGTGTTGTTTGCAGCAGAGCCAGCAATGGTTGAACCCACTGCTGCAACTTCACTTGGTTGATCATTAACTCAGCTTGGCTGAAGTCTGATGCACACATGCACCCAATGCATAAATGGCCGACCCCAATTGGGATTATTTTGTATTCAGATAGATTAACTCAACTAGCATTATCAGTACGTCCAAGAATCATAAAAAATCTCATCTCAAAGATGAGGCTCATTGAGCTAATTTTACATGAGTACAAGAGAATACCAATCAGCCTGCCATTTATCCATTCTGTCTATTACAATGGGTACTTCAGATTACACTGTAGATCACTCTGAAACTGTTATTAGTCAATCTCAAGAGGGATCAATGTTTATTTTCAGGTTTACTGCCCCACATGGCAGAGCAAGGAATACCGAGTTGAGAGTTGATTCACCATCAATTTGTAAGCCCAATTTTTGGAAGAGTTACAGATTAAAGCTAGGGAACCAAGGGGAACAAAAGTCACCAAAGTTTTGACAGCACAGAGAACAAATTATGTGCGTTCAAACAGGTACATGGAAAAAACATATGAAATCTATGTCAGTTATAAACCTTTCTGTTTAGACACATTGAACTAATTTAATTTATTACAAAGCAAATCAGAGTAACTTATTGTAGGCACAAAATCATAATGTAGTATGGGGACACAGGGAAAATATTTGACTTATGAAAGGACGCTGGCATGATTTACATTAATTTGATCTGTGCATTAAAAAGGCCTTATGACTTGTGGATATTGTGAAGTGAAGCTAACACTTGTTACCAGATTTAAGATAGAAATTCTTCAATACAGTTTCCCTTTCATTTCATTGTAAAAAAGTTGAAATAATTTTTTTTTTAATCAAGATACCGCTACCTCGTACGCTTGTGCATTTTAATTCCCTGCATACTGGATGATCGGTCACAGTGTTGATATTCTGAGGAGAAGCCGCATGTTTTCTCCCAAAGTAAAATCCTATGGATCGATGTGCAGTGATGACATTATGCAAGTGAGATAGTGTTGTTTGTATCAGAGCCAGCAATGGTTGAACCCACTGTTACAGCTTCACTCAGTTGATCACAAACTCAGCTTGGCTGATGTCTGAAGCGCATGTTATTTAAGTTGTTGCCTTCTTGATAAATACTGTGTGGTCTTTGTGAACTGGATAAAGTTAATTTTTCGTTGACACATCTGAACGCAAACGTAATGTTATGTCACTACGAAATTTCGCTGCATTTTCTTTTCCCTGCGACCAAAAATAATTTCCTATTTATCACATACAATTTTTACTGTTTAATATTACTAACTCAAATGCTATTGTTTTTGTTTAGATATTTCGACAGCACAAGGAGTAAATGAGGAATGGCTTCATTTGTTTTTACATTTGGTCGTTGTAAATTTAGCAGCTAGATTCCATCTTGCCATGCATTTGTTCTATTTGTGCTAGGAGAATTAATACGATAAACACTTATATCATACAAACTACGGTGTTATACGAAGATTTTCGGCTCTGAGAAAAGCCGTAACAACAAACGTGAAGAAATACGATATTTTTTCACGTGTTTGATATAACTAGTCGGCTGCTGACACGTCACTCATCTTTGGCGCCACTTGCTCAAAGCCTTCACCATTCTCAATCCAAGGTAGTTTGTCAGAATTTTCTCGGATTATGGCTGCTAAAACACTGAAAAAATCCTTATCGCTGAAGGACAGTGACGTACAAACTTTCCTAGATGAGGAAGAAAATCAATATACCAGAGGAAAGCCGAAAGTTGCGTATTCAGTAGCTTTGGTAATGGCTTTTGTCGCGGCTGTGAACGAAAATCGACAATTAGAAGATTTTCCACAGGCCGATTTTGGCCGTTACCTAAAATATTTTTTCTGTCGGTAAGGACAAAGTCAATAAATGAGAATTTTACAACTTAAAAATTACGCCCATGGTTGTTTTAGTCATCATGATTCAACGCATTTTTCCAACTGGAGGCTTGGCGTCAACGCACTGTACGATTTTCTTTGGGGATTGTTGATTCTTTTATTTTAATTCATTAATTAAGTCGGCTTTTCTTGTCAGCGAAAGGCAATTGTGGTTATATGATAAACAAAATAATACATGGTTGCTTGTAGATATTGAGTTGTTCTTCGCGTGTTCAACTCGACATCTGACTTGTTCATTGCGCTCACTCGTCAGCTATCTAGCTGGACACTCGAAGAGAAATTCCATATCTCGTTAGCTTTATAGATGAGAAACAATCAATTTATCATGTGGATCCGCCCTACTAAGTGAAACTTACTCGCTATTCAATTGATTTCTTTAGAAAAGAGAGAGGAAAGAATCTAAAAACAGACGACGGTATCTTCTATTCAAAGCCCATGGTTTAGGACGAAAAATCGTTGCGTTATATACGGGAAATTAGTTACGCGATATCGTCACAGAACACGTCACACGCAGAAGGACTCGCCTCTGTTCCTGCCGCTCTTTCAAATTATTTTCTCTTCCTCGCAGAGCCCCCCGGAGATATATTTGATATTAGATATCAACCAATGATATTTCAAGTAACTTCCTGTTATCAAAACTTTGCGATGTTATACGCATTCAAAGAAGAACAACATTACAAAAGAAACACCAGGTACAAGGGATATCTCCTGGAAAACAATGGAATTGTTTTGAGAAATCGGAAACCAAGGGAGGAATTTGAAATAGACAAATTGATTGTGAAATAAATATGACGCGGAGGAGCTTCCATTCATGCAGGTGTCATCACCCTTTGACAATTCAAAACAGGACTCTTTTGCTCTAAATGGAAATTTATTTCATTTCCTAATGTTCGAAGGGAAGATCATAGTTGGGTGATGAATGACTCGATAAGGATACTGTTACTTTCGTGACATTAGCTCATCTTTCTAATAGCACCCTTACTGTTTTGTTTATACTTTCATGTGATTCTTGATAATTTTTGATCAAAGCTGTTTTCACCTTATTCCGTACAGATGTTGAATTGTTCTCGGGATAATTGTCCCTTGGGAAACAGGACCGTTGACGCCGATGTCTATTACGTTTGTTTAAATTTTCATCTTACTACTTTTATTGCGAGTGGTTTGTTGTCTGCGCTAACACTTCAGACTCTCAAAACCGAGGCTGTTTCTACTCATCGATGGGGAGATGGGTACCGCTTGATTACACTCCATAAACAGCTCGTTAACTTTACCCAGGAAATCAAACCAGAAATCGTTGATAATCAGTGCCTTCTCCAATGTAGCTGGGTTACAGATGCAATCACAATTGCATTTCATTTTTTCTATCGCTTAGTAATTTTTGCTTCATTTTCTCTTAACTGATAAACGGATTTATAGTTCTGTATGTTATCGTTTGAAGAGAGAGCTCTTCAGTTGTCTATGACACCCGCTCTATTAATCTTTTAAAAATGCATTTCTTTTACGTTAGAAACCTTCTGCCCGTGTCCTTTTATGGGGCTGACTTTCGTAATATTTTCTGTCAATTATTTTCAGTAGTAGGCCATCATTCGATTTATTTCAACCCATCTTTAATAAAGTTTACTGTAGACTTAAAATTCAAGTTTTCCCCACTCGCTTTTTGATAATGAAATCCCAGACATCCGTGTTAATGATATTTAGCGCAATAACTATTCATTTTAACAAATAACAGCGCGAATTTGTCGAATATTTACAAAGTTCCGTTGACTTCCAAGTGCTTAAAAAATTGGAAGTGCGTTATTCAAAGTTAGAAGGCTGAAAAGTCGATGCTTTTTTCACAGTTCGGTCACTCAAAGGAAGAATATATTCAGTTTCTCCTTCTTTTTCACAAGGTAAATCTTCTTCCTCTTTGGTGTCAATGCTAGAAGACGTTTCGTCTTGTTTACTCAACTCCATTCTTTGCAAAAACCGGTTGACTTTACTGGCGACCTCTTCAAGCTCACTTTCATTAGCCACACTGCCTTTTCTTGGCGATGCCCTAGGGCTTAGCGAGGTTGGTGAAAGAGATGTCCGCGAAGATTTATTGCCAGTGGTGCAGCTTCCTCTGCGTGTTCCTGGCAGGCTTCCTGCAAGCGCTTCTCCAGCGAGTTTACTTGTATCTGCAGCAACTAGAGATCCTCCAGCACCTATAGGCGGTAAAGACTGCCTTCTCGGTTGACTGAGCGGCGGGAGTAGGAACGCCGTCGGACTAAGCGGACGAGTGGGACTTACTGATGTCCGTTCTGTCAAATCGACGTCCGTTGTTCCCTCGGAAGAAATCCTCCTCCTAATAGCCGCTGGTGAGCGTTTATCAACGTCGGATGAATTTCGCGGAGACGCCGAAGCTGATAACAAAACTTGCGGAGTGCTATACCGCCGCGGCAATCGAGGGCTTAGCTTTTTGCCTCCATCGTTTGGCGATGACGCATCTGGGAGACTCAATCGATTCTTCATTATGTTTTCCGCGTCAGCGAGCTCCTTTTGAATTTTCTTTTTCTCGCGATCTATCTCCTTGCCAATTGATTCCCTGTGGAAATCTATGGAGTCGAGTTGAATTTTCAGTTTTCTGTCCGCCATTGAGTTCATGAACATTGTTTTGTCTGCATACTCAGTTCTTTGATATGCCATGGTTTCGCGGGCTAACAGGGAAGTCAGTGCTACTCAGTAATCGCGCGAAACTTTGGTCTCTGCGGTTTGTTTCGTGCGGAGATGGCAATTATGCAAATTTCCTTCAGTTTATGCAAGGAAAATTTTTTTTGGAGTGCACACCTGCACAAAAATAAATTATTTCTATGATAAGACGTGTCACTTGATGGAAACAATTAACAAGTCTACCTGTGCGAGGCCCAGGGCGGAATGAACAAAGAGCTTTATGAATTTCTTTCTTGTTCTGAAATAAAGACGGTGAAGTTAAACCGCTTTGTAGCGTACAAATAATAACTTAGAGCCTGAAATTTCTCTTTGGCAACCGAGTTATTGAACGAATATTTGAACAGGAAGGGCCATCGTTTTGAGTTGTAAATAGGGATTTTCTTGACGTGCTGTTTCCAGGTCTTCTTAGGATAAAAATAATGATTTTAATTCTCGGAAACTTTTTATTCCGTAGGGTGATATCCTTTGATTTAATTAAGTGGCAAAGACTTAAGGCCATAAAAAGTTTCTTATTGCAAAACAGAGCCATAGCTGGTGTGTGTTTAACATTCAAACAAAGATATCAAAGAGAGCGGTTTGACTAAAATTCGGTTTGCCTTTTTTAATTTAGTTTACTCGAAAGTCAACAAACAACTTTATGTAATAAATTGGAGAAATTATGCAAGCTCATTGTCACCTTTCCTTTTAATCTTAGAGATTTGACAGTTTTTGAACGAAAAAAAAAAGAGATTGCTAAATCTCTTTTGCTTTTTGAAAAAAGAGCTCAACAACTGGAAATGTATACCGATTACACTTTGTGATTAAATATCATTTTACCATTGATTTAGACAGTTGAGACGTTTTTCTCGTATCAAACAGAAACTAATCGATATAAGCGGAAGGCACAAGATTGGACGTTTAATCACTGTTTAAATCTCTTAACCAATCACGGCTGTGAATAATTTTCTTTCAGTAGCCAATCAAGATGTTGAGTTGAAATTCAGAATCAGATCAAGAAGAAATGAAGATTGGTGAACCTGTCAAATCATTTTCGGACAGGAAAAACAGAATTATTCTTGTAAGCCTAATTCAGATGCAAAACTTGTAAGTAACAAATATTTGAGAGAAACTTCTAGTCACAATTCATTTAATGAACGAAAACTGGATAAAACAACAAATAATGAAACGAATAAAACAAACTGGCTTTTGGTCTTTAAGCCTTACTACTTCGTCGTAACATAATACTTTTAAAATGCTAAAAGCTTTAAAAGACTATTTTTTTAATATTCAATATTTCTACCCCAAAAAGACCAGAAAAGTAATTCAATGTTGTTTTGAACATTGGGAAAGTGTTAAGTTAAGAAATGTTATCGGCAGGCGGCTATAAAAGAGCCTATAAGCAAAACAAAGAAGAGATTTAACGACGAGAACTAAATTTTCGAGCTATTGTTTGCCTTGACTTATTTGTCACTTGCTAAAACGAATTTGACAAGTCGAATTCACCAAAGTGTCTTTTATCATCGTATTACTTCTGAAGTATAATTGGCTGGAAAAGCACGTTCCTGTTGAACCTCAAAAAATGCGACATTCTCGACGAAAGCAAAGAGTAGAAGCGATTGCAGTGGGACCTCTACTAATATTTTCTCTTAGAAAGGAAGCAGTTCTTAATGCGATGATTGCAACGGGCTCTCGTTGAGGTCCACATCGCCGTTTGGGAGCCGGTATCTTTTTAAAAACACTTTACTTTTCACTGGACTGGTACAAAACACTTTCCCAAAGTGACCATCGCATTTGGGAACTTCTTCATATTATTATTAGCAACTATTTATGGAATTAGTTATGGTATTTGTAAAATAACAGAGACACTTAGCACGTTCTCGTTGGTTCCAAACCCCCTTCCAAAATAGGTGAGGCTATGTAAACATGGATTAAAATCTTGTATTGCTTTTAAATGGCATTTGTACTGGTGCCTTTCCCATCCACTTTAATTTTTAATGCTCGTTTGATCCCCGACAGGAAATGTTTTCCCAAATGCTTGTAGCAGTTTAATAAGAATGGAAGAAATTTTTTTTTCAGACGCTCACTTATGGGTTCTTCCACTTCTTTTATATCTGGTGTATCGAAAGAGCACAGCTTACTCGCCATTTCATTTTTGATTACAACAGGTGTTACGGCTTGAATAAAATTACTTATTGATTTCCATGTTTGTTATAAAGCAATATACTGCTTTGGTTGAAATATGAATCTAGAATAGTATTGCTATATTGTGATATTCTCGTGCAAGACATGAGATTATAAATCTCTTGAATAATGTTAGTGTGATTCTAGCTTGCTTTTTTAAACCTTTCCAACCTGGTTTGCTGTAGGTTGAAAAATACGATCAACCAAAACAACCAAGAAGGTTTTTTTTTTCTCCTTACAATACATTAAGACTTTTTTTATTTTTAATTGGCTAAGAGAGATGCAGTTTTAGGTAAAACAACACAGAAATAAGACAGTTCAGTGCCAAAGAAGATCATGAAAAAACTGTTTGGCCAGGCTTTACACAATATTTTTTTCCGGCTAAAAGGAGGCTTCTCCTTCGTTTGGGAAAATAACTCGTGCGTATTAATTCCAAATTACACTCAGAATCACGTCGTTACCATAACATGAAAAAAAAGAGCCCAAAATTCCATCAACACGACCAAATAAAGACAGTTGAACTTAGCTAATGGCGCACGACCTGCTAAATTTCGGCGTGAAAAAGTTTGCGCACATTATCGATATGCTATTCAGTTGAGTTGGGTAAAACCGGAAAGAGAAAAAGTTTT